TGTTAACACCCAAACTTGTGTAAAAATAGGTTTTAATACCAGAAATACTTTGTAATAAAAAAATATTACCAGCAATAATTTTTGAAGGTAAAAATTATTATAAGCAATAATTAAAATTTACAGTGAAACATATACTATTAGAGTTTGTAGATTTTGATTTAGTGAGAACAAAATATTACAAAGTGAGTAATTAAAAACAAAACAAAAAAAAACATCCAAGATTGTAAATTTTCTAAAAGAAATTGGATTGTACTAAAAAATATGAGTAATTGAAAAATGGTTCAAATATACACACACCTTTTCTTTGCTTTCCTTTTTTTTTACCAAACTATATATATATATACACACCTTTTCTTTTCTTTTTTTTTTTACCAAACTATCGCTATGAATCTATTTCAAAAATTTTGTTGGCATTAAATGACCCACTGAGGTTTTGATATGCCATAAAACAAAACAAACAACCAAACAACCAATCGGTCCTTAAAGGTTGTTCCATAATTTCCACATCTAAGTTACGCTTGGTAATTCGCTATTTTTCCTGAATGCTTGGCACTTCGACGTTGGGTAACGGTTAGCAAGCTTGTCTTGCTAGATCAATTACAACTAAATAGTGAGTACAATCCTCACTAGTTGCACCATAAATTCACCCTTGTTGTCACATCTAAGCTACGCTCATTAAATCATCATTTGTTCTGAACATGTATGAGTGTGTATGTGTTTGAGAGTATTATGTATAAAGCAATATTTCCATTTTGAAAGAGCAGATGTTTTTCTCATCTGTTTATCAACGCGCATAATTTTTATTTGATTGGTTGGCGGTACATAATCTTTGGCCATGGTGGACCATCTATCGGATTAAGTATACTGTACGTATCAGGTAAAAAAAACAAGATTTAATCATCATGATTGGCATGTCTATCGTACTTGGCGCCATACAGTACCCTCTCATATAAACTCACACGATCTTCTTCTTCTTCTTCTTCTTCTTCTTCTTCTTCTCCTCCTCCTTCTTCTTCTTCTCTTCCTCCTCCTCCTTCTTCTTCTTCTTCTTCTTCTCCTTTTTCTTCTTCTTCTTCTTCTTCGTGGTTGTCGTCGTCGTCGGACAGTATCCCTTCAGGACGTGGCTGATCATAGCTCTCCTAAACTATCCTTTGTAGCTTTTATAATTCTTGACATGTCTTCTGCATAACTTATGTGGTTAAGATTGTGCTCACCAATTATAGTTTTCCTATCCGTGTACAGGCAGTGAGATTCCAGATTAAGTTCCTGATTTGTTGAACAGCCCTCCTAAATTTCCGAGCAGTTTAAATAGATCTTTGTGCCATCACTTATTAAATAGTTTACCTTGCCTATTAAACAAATGTATAGAACCTTTTGCATTACTGATGATCTTTCTGATATAATTCGGTTATCATTCTGTTCATGAAGAACGTGAACCAGTCTAGACAGCCTTTATTGCATTCGAGTAGTCTAATGGGAATTCTACTGGCAGAGTCGTTAATAACAGCAGTTATATTATCATAATATGATTTAAGTATTAACCTCGATATGCATTTATATATTCAATGTCGTTTTTCAAATTCATTATTCAGCTTGGCATAGACTGACACAAGCCCTAAGGCCACTCATGCAATAATTATTGTCTATATCTATCTATGGCTGATCATCTATTCATAATCCAACTCACTGCACGATTTGAAAAGGAAGCAAGTCGTGTCAATCAAACATGTGAATGTGCCGTTATCGGAGCAAAAATAGAATCAGAAAGCCAGGTACCTATCTCGAAAGTAGAATAGAAGATCCGAGCTCAATTACTGAAAGATGAAATCGATAAGCCGAGTTCACATCTGGAAAATGGAATCGGCAAACTGAGGTCAAATATCGAAAATGGATTCCGTGAGCAGAGTTCAAATCCCCAAAATGGAATCGGCGAGCCGAGTTCAAATATCGAAAATGGATTCAGTGAGCAAATTTCAAATCCCCAAAATGGAATCGGTGATTCGATTTCAAATGTCGAAAATGGATTCAGTGAGTAGAGCTCAAATCCCGAAAAGGGAATCGGTGATCCGAGTTCAAATATCGAAAATGGGTACAGTGAGCAGAGTTCAATTTCCAAAAATGGAATCGGCGAGCCGAGTTCAAATATCGAAAATGGATTCAGTGAGCAGAGTTCAAATCTACAAAATGGAATCGTTGATCCGAGTTCACATATCGAAAATGGATTCAGTGAGCAGAGTTCAAATCCTAAAAATGGAATCGGTGATCTGAGTTCAAATATCGAAAATGGATTCAGTGAGCAGAGTGCAAATCCCCAAAATGGAATCGGCGAGCCGAGTTCAAATATCGAAAATGGATTCAGTGAGCAAAGTTCAAATCCCCAAAATGGAATCGGTGATTCGATTTCAAATGTCGAAAATGGATTCAGTGAGTAGAGCTCAAATCCCGAAAGGGGAATCGGTGATCTGAGTTCAAATATCGAAAATGGGTACAGTGAGCAGAGTTCAATTTCCAAAAATGGAATCGGCGAGCCGAGTTCAAATATCGAAAATGGATTCAGTGAGCAGAGTTCAAATCTACAAAATGGAATCGTTGATCCGAGTTCACATATCGAAAATGGATTCAGTGAGCAGAGTTCAAATCCTAAAAATGGAATCGGTGATCTGAGTTCAAATATCGAAAATGGATTCAGTGAGCAGAGTGCAAATCCCTAAAGTAGAATCGGTGATCCGAGTTCAAATACCGAAATGGCAATCGATGAACTGAATTAATATCCCGATATGGAATCGGTGATCCGAATTCAAATATCGAAAATTGATTCAGTAACAGAGTGCAAATCCCTAAAGTAGAATCGGTGATCCGAGTTCAAATCCAAAAATGCGCTCGATGGACCGATCGAGTTCATACCCCAAAAATGGTATCGGTAAGCCGAGTTTATATCTCGAAAGTAGAATCGTTGAGCTGAATTCAAGTCCCCTAAATGGAATCGGTTAGTTGAATTTACACCTCGAAGATGGAGTCAATGAGCAGAGTTCAAATCCAATGTCCTTAGTAAAATAATGAATCCTTTTATTTACGGTTAAGCTATTGCTTAAATGGCAAAGTAGATCAGGATCTCTATTCTTGGATGACAGTCAGTCTAAGAGCTGGAAAACATTAAATTCAAAATCGTGAAGGCGGTTAGCGGAGCCACGCCGCTCTCTTTCCCAATAAATCGTGACAGTCTACAGATAATAAAGTAAAAGATAATGTCGACAGAAATGATCAGTTTCGTCGTAAATGGATAAGGAATTAAATTTAAAATGCGGATAAGTCGAAGGCAAAACAAATGTGGTAAGTTATATTCTCATAATTCTCTTAATTGACTACATTGAAGCTATATGTCATGCTGGTTTCGTTCCCTCGTCCGAACAGTGTTGAAGAAGTTGTGGTGCCCCCCCACTACCTGTACGTCTTTCTTGTTCGATTTGTGATGAACCAAAGTGGTCTCATATCTCAACAGCCCATTGTGGATTGATTAAAAACATTAAAGGGGTTGTTCAGCGGTGATTTCCCAGGTGGCAGCGTTGATATTAAATATTTTCCCCTGTAAATATAACGAAATTAAAACAGGAAAATTATATATACAAAGGCGTGCTAAAAAATGATCCCTTTCTTACCAAAGTGACCTTTAAATAAAACAATTCTGATGACTGATGCTTGGGGAAGGCTGAGAGTGCTTTTCATCTCATAACCCCCGACAAAGAGAAACATGCTAACCATTTAAATTCTTTTCCCTTAGACTCTTGAGTGTTCTTTCCTGAAATATTTCAACTGTCTGTAGTGGAAAACAAACCGTTGATTCTACTTTTTGCAATTTTACTTAATGCATTGTGTAGAATATAGATGCATGAATAGATAAAAAGAATGTCGAAAAAATAGTGAAAAAAAAATGGATGGCAGGGACAGTGATAAGGTAAACCGATGCTGTGTTGCTTATTCGGTTCTGGATCGTGCTTGAAATGTGTAAGCAGTTCGGTGATGAATTGTCTGGCAAATTCGCCCCAAGCAAAATAAGTATAGATTGAACGAAAGTAAAAAAAAAAGAGAGGATACTTTAGAATTGGTGTGGGCGTATGTGAAAGTAAGCATTGTTTGAAGAAAATAAGCTCTTTAAAAAGTAGAGAAGAAACGGAAAAGAAGAAATCATTTGCAAATACAAAAAAAAGAAAAAAAAAAAAACGAAACGAAGATTAAGGAGAAGGTAGAAACACTATTATGAGAACGGGAAGCTCTATGGAAATAAAAGATGTTCCAATAACTTGGACCGATTTTAAATGGGAATTAAGTTTAAGTGTCTAAAGATTTTTTTTCTTTTTCTTTCAGATTTGGCGGATATTTGGGCGATATTATTTTTCACACATAATTGTCCCAACTTAAATAACATGATTCAATAGAGAAATGAATAAATTTTCACCAATAACACTGATTTATTTACTACTGACTTTGATCCGTCTTAATGAAACACCCTTATATATAATCCCTCTTAATGAAACACCCTTAAATAACTGAAATTATAATTGTAAATATTTGTTCGGAATTCAAAGCCAAATTTAAAGAAAGGAGAATAACCGACGTAAATATTTGTTTGTGTGTTTGTTTAGCGGAATATCAACACCTTATGAGTCATTTAATGCTGAAATTTAATTTTCTTAGTAATTTCTTTTACAAAAATGTTTTGCTGGTAATTTCTTTTCATTAGAAAATGTATTACTGTTATTTTTACTATAACAATTTATTTTTATGCTTTCATAGTGTTTTGTTTTTGTTTTGGGGGGTTCACTATTTGCCCATAGCTGGGGACCTAACTGGTGCTACCACCCCCGGTCAGGGTGGATCTGGGAACAATACAAGACGTGGTTCGACACTCCTCAAAACATACCGATGCAAGGCCTTGCTGCCGGATGTAGTTCATTGTCATACCCAGGATGCTTGATGTAAATACAATACCAAGACAAAAACATTCATAGAGTTTTCGAGAAGGAAAGGGTAGAAAAAAGAAAAGAAACGGAAAACGGAAGAGAACTGGAGAAAGAAATTTCAAGCAAGTGGAATAGCTGGCATTTAGATAAGAACTGGTAAGATAGAGAGATAGAGGGAGATTTACATTGAGGAAGAAAGAGTAAGATATTGGATAAAAGGATGAAGGGAGAGAGAAGGAGGGAGAAAATCAGTGGGAAATAAAAGAAAGAAAGCGAAAAAGGAAACATATGCGAGACAAAGTAAACAAAACCAAACATAAAAGAATTTATGCAAAAAATAAGGGAAAGCAGACGTCTTTTGTAGCTCTGGGCGTTACACATTTTCTTCTGACACAAAGGGGCGAGTATTTGATGTTCCAGCCCTGGTTAAAAAAAAACAAAACATGATTTCAAATATTAATTTCCAAGGCTAGTAACCTTAGCGTTAAGTAATCTTACTAAAGCGTTACCCCTCATTGGTCAGCTGCCAGACAGGCAGTGCAAAATTTTGTTAATATTAATCACATTGGTTGCAATAGAAGAAAAAGAAATAGCGTTATATTTTATGATTTTGATCCCTAGGGCTGCTTTACATGTCCTAGGGTTTTGTTTTGTACTAAACTTAGTTAATATTTATAAGCGAAAAATAAAGACAATATATAGAAATAAAGAAACAGTTTGTATAGAAAGGAAGACATATAAACAGGAGGAAAAGAAAAATCACGAGGAGAGAGAAAATTAACGAATGAGGACAGCCTGAAGTATTTAAAAGTTTATATCTGAAAGACAGGGTCTCCTATAATGATGGGGCATATTTTCAATGCAAATATCTTGGATTTTTAAAAACTGATATATGAGTTCCAAATGTATTTCTTACATAACTGATATATGAGAGTTCAACATATCTAAGATTTGAATATTACATCCCTGTGATAGTCACCACTACGAAGAGAACATGCACAAACTCTCTTTCTCGTTTCAAACAGTGCGACTTGGCATATCAACTGGAATGGCTACGATCTCTCTACGGATACTTTGTTTTAGTTCCACAACGTCGGCAACATTTTCCGCCATTTGATATTTGACTTGTCTGACATGCGGATATTCGTAGAAATCCTCCGTCAACTAACACTGAAAAATGCCCAAAAAGAGTCTAAAAATGCGATCGATAATCTTGTAGTTGTATAAAAAGGATTAATTGGCGTGGAGAAAATATAGCAACTACCATTTTGTGCCTCAACTGTGATGATGGGACCGTTTAATTTATAATACGTATATAACCTAACTGTATATGGTGATTTTCCAAGAGTAGCTTAGATTAGGTACAAGGCCGAAAGTAGTTGGACACCCACTGAGGGCCGAACTCACGACTCAGTCGTAATTGTTCTAGCGAGGCAAGCTTTCTAAACATTACATCGCCTCGAGGTGCCCAACCTAACTGTATATAAAGAGTGTCCCATAAGGATGCAAGTATCTTGGATTATAAAAATAACCATATGAGTTCTAAATATATTTCTTACATAACTGATACGCAAGAGTTTAAAATATTATCTAAGATTTGAATATTACATCCCGGAGATGGTGACCAACAGCAAGAGAACATGGACGAGCTCTCTCTCTCTCTCTCTCTCTCTCTCTCTCTCTTTCTCTCTTTTTTTTCTCTCTTTCTCTCAAATTTCTCGCAGAAGATTTTAACATCACACAGGATCACGTTTCGGGACGGCGCTTGTTGCTTTCAAAAACGCCGTCGGAATTTCCTTTGTGTCTGCAACGATGGATCCTTGGCTGCTGAACTATTCTTCCACTAAGTATGCATTTTTATTTTTTGAGTCCACAACATTATAAGAGTACACCGTCAGCAAAACAGATATCAGATACCTGTAGGAAATAGAAAAATCTTAGATAATATTTTTGTAGTATTGTATGAACATTAGATAGACAAGTATAAATAGAGAACAACTAGCGAACGTAGGGTGGCTAAACCTAGCAAACCCGGTCGCTATTCAGGACACAGAGAATTGTACTACGACTACTACTACGCAGAGAGATAGCAAGACATAACAATGGCATTGCTGATAGGATCGTTAAATTAGCAGGACGACCCAGAATACATAGAAACATGGATAAGAACTTTTGCTGCAGTTGCAAGAATGAAAATGAAGAGAGACCGAGATCACCATTAAAGAGAAGACAAGGCAAGAGGAAGGACAAATCAATATGAAAATAATCAGGAACAGTTAAAGAACAAACAAGGGTATACGACCTCTCCGATTCAGGGAGGTGTAGTATCGTATGCAAATTAGATAGACAAGTAAAAATAGAGAACAACTGGTGAACATAGCGTGGCTATGCCTAGCAAACCCAGTTGCTGTTCAGGACACGGGGGACTGTGCTATGACTACTACTACGCAGAGAGATGCGCAAAAATAAAGACTTGAACTCTTGTATATCATTTATGTAATAAACATATATGACACTCAATAAAACGGCGTGCGTCGCGTTGCTCCGTCTCGCGTTGTCGCCGCGGGCTTCCCTGCCGTTGTTCTTTTCCGCGCGGCGGCCTCATCTTCCCCTCTCGTCCTCCAGTCTTCCCTCAGCCCTGCTCTACCTACCTCCGCGTCTAATCTTCGCGTCCGTTTTGCGTGCGTGCGCGGTCGGCGGTTTCTCCTCCAAGGGTGCTCTTGACCGAGTGTCCGCGGCGGCCGGTACGTTCACTTTGAAAAAATTAGAGTGCTCAGAGCGGGCTGTTCAAGCTTGCATACGATAAGCATGGAATGATGGAAGAGGGCCTCGTCTACGTCTGTCGGTCTCCGTCTACGGCGAGGCAATGATCGAATGGAGCGGTCGGGGCCACTCGTATTGCGACGTTAGAGGTGAAATTCTTGGATCGTCGCAAGACGAAACTGCAGCGATGGCGTGTGGCAAACACGTTTTCCTCGATCAAGAGCGAAAGTCGGAGGTTCGAAGACGATCAGATACCGTCGTAGTTCCGACCGTAAACGATGCCGACCGGCGATCCGCCGGCGTTCGCTTCTATGACCCGGCGGGTAGCCTGCGGGAAACCAGAGTTCGGTTCCGGGGGGAGTATGGTTGCAAAGCTGAAACTTAAAGGAATTGACGGAAGGGCACCACCAGGAGTGGAGCCTGCGGCTTAATTTGACTTATTTTTATAATCCAGGATACTTGCATTTAAAATGTGATTATAGAACACACTGTATTTTATACCTTATATTGTTAATAGTATATTAATTCTGTCCTGTAACTGACGGTTATTTAACATACGAAATATCTTTGCAAAATATTAGAAATCCGTTTTAGTGTTATAGATTTTCGTCGTAAAATTAGTGAGTGATTGATTCGTTTTCTAAGGCTTATTAACAAACTGAAGGTTATTTAAAACCAGGAAATATTTTTAGATTGTTACAATTTTTGAGGGTTTAGTGATGCAAGTCTTACTAATTAACCCATAGTTGGGGGAAGAAAAGGTGGATTCATACCTTTCCCAAGGGTATTAACGCGTAAGTGAATACAACGAACGGAAAAGAAATTGGAACTAGGCTCTTCGATTAACAATTCCGAGCCATTATCCATTACACCTCCCGCACATCCAAGGATACAGCACCTGATATTCCAAAGTGGTCACCCTGGAACCGATGTTTCAAATGATATGGCCTTAAGCCTGTAAATTTAGTCTGCAAAATTTTATTTACAAATATTATATAAAATGAAATAATAAGTAAATATATTTTTAAAATATTCAGTAACAAAAGATATGGTATTATTTAGTTTGTTCGAACTTTTGTACTAATCTTTATTGTCATATTTACGACTTTTAGTCCGTTGTACGCTCCGGCCTTCATCAGGTGATTGGAATTTAGAACGGAACCCTTTATTTCGTCCACCGGGGTAGATTGTTCAAGGATAAATGGCGCAGTGGATAAAAGCCTTGTTTGGGTCCAGTGACTTGTCCCAAAGATTTGTGAGTTCAATATCTGGCTTCGGCAGTGGTGAAACAAAACTTGGAGAATTAATTTAAAGGGAGATAACTGAGACATCTGTAAGATGAATGGTACGTGGAACTAAAATGTAAATAATTACAATACCTCATCTCAGAAATACAGATATGTTTTCAAAAATATATGGTTTAAAAATAATATGTAGAGAATTTTTCATGAAAAAAATAAGAGCGTGTACTCTTTTAAAATATTTTTGGAAGAGGAACAAACGAAAAATGAAAGGCAAAGAGGAAGAAATAAAAAGATGCTATCTTCCTACTGCCGATGTCCCTGCCTCCAAAAAATAGAAAAAAAAAGAAGGAAATCGTGTTGGTTTGAGGGTGAAATGCATAGATATTCAAGGAGAGCGAAACTTGATTTGGTCTTTTCCTTTAATTTTCCAATATGATTTTATTTTTCTGCAAGCCTGCCGAACACATAAAGAGGGAAACAAATTTAAAGCAGCTGTCTGACTTATAGCAAAAGGATGACAGCGATGACGGTCATGATTCTCCACAATTTCCTGTCCTTTGTAGCTCTTAATAAATTACTCTTTTTCTTATCTCTCCAGAATTCTGTTCCTCCATCCTTTTACTCAAGATCGCTAGCACAGTTCTGCGTTGCTTTCCTCATCCTCTCTTGCGTTCAACCATGCCTGTGAGTATCAAATTTTCCAAGCTCTCTTTCCTCATTATGTGTCTTAGAAATTTCAACTGTCTTTTTGTTGATGCTACGTTAGTGACCTTTTAATTTCAATTTTTTCAAAAACTTCGTCGTTGCTCACATGTTCGTTTCATTTTATTCTCAGCATCCTTCTGTAGAAACGCATTTCTGATGCTTCAAGTTACTTCCAAATCTATGAGGGGATTGTCCAGCATTCATTGCCATATAGGAGGACTGCTGTTACGTAAGAGTTCATTACTCTTTTGTTTTGCTGCTACCGAAATTTTCCTGTTTGTTAGGTTAGCGTTTGAAAGGCATCTTTCGCTAACCCAATGTGTCTTTAGATTTCAGTGTCGCACTTTCTGTTATCATTTAAAACACTTTCTATTTAAATTATTTTACTTGTTTGAATTTGCTATCTCCAATTTGTAATTTACATGTTGGTTTGCCCCTTTTGCTAACAAACGGATTGCACGAAAGATAAATAGGTAGATATCAGTCCCCTTGTACATTCGATTTAAAATGGTGGGCATAGGTCTGTTTTGCTTTAGAGTCAAAAAGGTAGACAGAGGTTCCGACGAACTACATTTCTTAGTTCCGCCATTTTTAACATGCACGGCTAAGACCCACCAAGCCAGCCCACGAACCACTCTCCTTCCTTTCGTATTCCATTGGTGATATGCAAGTAGCATTCGAGAAGACTCTTCCCACGAACCTTTACTTTGTGGAACCGACTGTCAAGTGGGTGCTTTCCAGATGTCTACAATCTTAATCTGTTTAAGTCTAGGATTAACCGTTGCCCATATATCCTCATAAACTGTGCTTCTTATCTCTTACTTTGTAAATCTCTTTATGAAGTGTCTCTTGAGCTTTGTAAATGGTGAACATTATTGTAAATTAAAAAAAGAAAAAGAATAAACACTACAGTATAAAAAAAAATATTTACAGTCCATCTGAAGTTATAACTCGAATTTAGTTTTGAAGAATCTTTGTCTAATTTTAATTTAATTTTTAAATGATTAAATTAGATGTCAAAACAAAGCTTGAGTTGATTTTTTTTCGGTAGCTTCAACATGTTTAATTAAAGTTATTGGATTTATTTTAAAGACTACTGTCTGAAGTTATTATGCAGATTAAACTAATATTAGTTTAAAGCCTATGAAGTCGAATAAAAAGTATTTATATATTCTTTTTTTTTCCATAATATTTGTTGAAACATGGGTAATGTAAATGATCTGACAAATACAGAACAACAGAAAATAACGAAGTTTTTGAGTTAGGGAATGCCGGTATTGGAGATATCAAATGTGATTTCGAGAGATCATCGAACAATAAAGAGAGCTGTTGAAAATATAACTAAGTTGAAAAGGAAACCCGCATTAAGAACTTGTCTCCTCGAAAGGGACGTTTGTTTGTAAGGATTTGGTTGATTTAAATGTCTGCGGCATTCTTAGACCACAAATTTTCTCCGTATGAATTATTCAATCGTCGAATTAGTTTTTTTTGTTTTCAATGAACTTTTAAATTAGGTTTTCAATTATGTTTTGTTTTAGAGAATTCTTCGATTTTTTTTTCTCGATATGTTGAAATTTTAGTTTCTGTTGAATAGAGAAATTATATTGAATGGGAGAAGCAATAGGTACATTACATTTGACTAACAAACAAACAAAAATGAAACATGCCGATGAAATTCTCATCGTAGTTGCATGCGCATGCGCTACGCCGCTATGATAAGAGAAAAACGGATCTTATAACTCAACGAAATAACTGGTCGTCTTTCTTGAATAGGAACATTTTTGTTTGCCGTTTCAATACATCATTCATGGGATTTTTTGTTTATTCATAGTTTATTCGGCTTCTAGCGTTTTGGAATAAAGAATTACAGTTGATTCCAAGCAAAAAAAAAATCATTTTTCTCGGGCGATTGCGCTGGTGTTGAGATGTTGAAGAATACGATGAATCGAGCCACAGGTGTTGTTTTGGATTTAGGCAATAAATCAATTTTTAATTTCATTCTTCTGTTCAAAAAATGGTCTTGACGGCGTTCTTTTACATATGTTGAATCTCATTTTCTTCATTTACACTATTTATATCCGTCCGGACATATGTCCCTAACTTTATTGTTGTTAGCATAACGTTTCGGTTGTTGTGCTCCCCGGCCATCGCCAGGTGTTTATCGATCCGGATAAGCTATAGGGAATTCCGAACTGGAACCTTTCTTTTATCTATGGCGTTAGACTGTTCTCGTTCCACTGCACATATTTAGCGATATCATCTAGTTCTTATTTTTATTATTGTTCAGTTTTTGCTCGCCCGTTTCCACTGAGTCCACGTACACAACGCCAATGTCAGGGATTAAAACAACTATGTTACCAAATTGGCAAACCAACGCTTTTACCCACTAGGACATTGCTGGAGTAATCTGAGAGCTTTAAATCTAACTTTCACTGCTGATTTCACTGAGTCCAAGTACACAGCGCCAAAGTCATGAATTTTTACCACTATGTTACCATTGTCGCGTAGGGCATCTGCTGGAGTAATCTGAGAGCTTTAAGTCTAACTTTCACTGCTGATTTCACTGAGTCCAAGTACACAGCGCCAAAGTCAGGAATTTTTACCACTATGTTACCATTGTCGCGTAGGGCATCTGCTGGAGTAATCTGAGAGCTTTAAATCTAACTTTCACTACTGATTTCACTGAGTCCAAGTACACACTTCCCGACCTAGGGATTGAACTAACAATTACTATGTAAACAAATGCTTTAATTCACTAGACTATTGTCTTCATTTTGGAATTCATCATGTCTCTGTCTGAGACAACCTATCTATCTAATATATTTAACACTTTAACTTATTTATTTTTCTTTTATATATATATATATATATATATATATATATATATATATAT